AGGCACTGTGCAGTGGTTAAGCATCAGGCAAACCCACTTTTTTTGCAGTTAATCCTACACTGATTAAATTGCCTTTTCATTTTGCTAATATTTGAGGGCAGCTGGGTCACCAGCTGACATTGAAGTTATTTCCCTTTTGCTTTCTACATATATTTAAACCCATGTTGTAGATGTTAAAATTTTTCTGCATCATACAAAATCTGTATAAAGAACCAATTTCCTTTAGATCATAAAGCTTTGAATCTTTCTAATAATGTAATACTTGTTTCCTATTTTTTAAAATCTGAAAGGCTAGGAAAGCATGCTTATGCCATGTTTACTGTTCAACATGCTTACTGTTCAATTCCTATGCAAGAACATTTCCCATGATTCCCATAGAAGCTACACACTAGCCTCTGTCCTTACCTGCATATTTTCCTGAATTTTCTGCATAGTAATTATAATTTTTTAATCTTTTGATCAACACAAAAGTGTTTACTCCTATCTTAGTAACAAGCTGTTCCTGCGCCTTGAGTTTTAGAATGTGTGACTAAAGTGCGCTGTAAAATATGCTTAGATACACTGTAAGGAACTTGTAGAAACTTGTGGGTCAGCTGCTCTTGAACAATTCAATTTACTGTAATAATCTGCAAATAAGAAGTGGAGGTTTTCTCCATTTACACAACGCTGCCAACAAAAATACCAGGCTACTCAGAAGTGCAGAAAAAAAAAGAGGTGTTACTTCATATGGGAATAGAAACCGATCCCTTTTGATGTGAATTGCACCTTCTTACATGTATATCACTGCATATTACACCTGTGACTGTTTAACTGTCATCATCTAAAAATCACATTAGTGAAAACAGACTTCAATAAGTAGCATACTGGAATCATTAATAAACCATTAGTTGTTTCTCACACAGTCATTTCAAAAGTTGCTGATATTACCACGTTTTCATTTGTAAAATTTCCTTTTGTTGTAAAGGGAATGTTTGCTTCCTTTGTTATTTAAAGTAATATAGGACTATCAAAACTTCTTTAAGTGAAATTACAGCTATAATGATTTTTTCTTTAATTAAAAAAGATATAAAGTCTCTGTGCAAGACCCTTTACATCCTCTTTTGGACTGCCTCTTTCCCATAAGGATGAAACTTCCCTGTCATCCTTTAATACTAGGTTGAACTCTCTTTTGAGTAAATAGGTCCTGTGCCTGGCCAAAATAACCTAAATCCTGCAGCTCAGCCACCTCTGCAAGGTTAGCCCCTATGTGAGTACTGACAGAATTTCTAGAAACTGATTTTTCTCTTCTAGGCCAGTTTTCCACAAAAAAAATTGCATACATACCCAACATAAGCACAACATGTCTGTATCTCATTTGCTGCCTTTTTGCACTGCTACCATGCTATAAAGGGGAATTCATAAAAATGATAATTCAAATATGACTACACTCAGCTTTGCTTAAAAAGTGAGAAGATTGAGTCCTTAATTTGCTTCCATTAAATTGCTATGGATTTCTGCAAAACAGAGCTAGGTTAGTCAGTGTTGATCACTAAATACCACAGCTTTGCACAAAAAAATAGTGTGAATAAAAATGTCAAACTTCTTTTCTGATTGTCTATTGCATTGTATGAAGAACTTACTTTATTGACTGGAAGAATGTTTTTCACATTGAAGTAGAATCCAAAGTAAACCATGTTAAACACTCCGTGACGGCCCAGTGTTGCAGTGAGGCCTTTGTTGAGTCCTTGGGAGCCCAGACCACCGGTTTTAATGATCTGCTGAGCTTGAACAAAGCTAGATGGTTGCTACACAAGTTAAGCAAAAGAGGGAAGAGATCATCTTTACAAAAAGAAAACAATAAACATAGCATAATTTCCATGCTGTTGACAAACACAGTGCTGCCAATTCTTATAATTTTATATTAAGTATCACCGTATTTGTTATTTTCCTTTTCCTGTGACCAATAAAAAACACAACTTTAATTAAAAAAAGATTCCTCATTTTTCTGATCGCAGAATAAGATGAAAGCAGGACTTGAGTACTGTAAAACAGTAGTACTGTAACAGATTTTCATTTCACAAAAGACAAAAAGGAAGAAACTGTCTCATATCAGACAGAATCTGCCTGACTTACATGCACCTTTGAACTTTTTTTGAATATACTATGATATTCAGAATTAGCTATTCCCCTTCTGAATATTTTACATTTTTTAGCAGCTTTATAGAAACATTACTTTCAAAAAGTTGGTGAATAGAGTTTGGCTTTCTCCAGAGTAGAAAGCCAAAAAAAGCCATAAAGCCATAAAGCTCTGGGTAACCAAATCTATAATTAGAAAGGCAAAACATGACTTCCACTAGGAGGTTCAAACATGAAAATATAGAAGAATTTTGACTACACCACTGTGAATACCACTAATTTCAATATACTTATTTGTTTAATAGCTTTCCATTTCAAAATATCACTGTGGTAGATCCACAGCATCAGCCAAATGATGCTACTATATCTGACACAGCATATAACTGATTATTTAGGTGACTGATGAGTTTAATCTTTAATACAAAGATTCATTTTGGTTTTTTTTTCATATTTTGCAACTAATATTATCCTGCTAATGCTCTGCATATATTATACTGGAGTTTACTTTTCTATCTGCTCCCAAGATTTCAAGTCAGAATCTATTCTAAAATGGAAATGCAAAACATGGGTACTAGCAATGACATCCTTTTTTGTGCTCCAAAAATGGACATTAGATCTTTAAGAAATAATACTGCAACCTTCAATATCAAGGTATCTCCTGGTATCCCTTGTCTTGAGTATGGATTTACTCATGCCTCAGAGGCGAAGCCTCACACTCGCTGAACACCTGAGATGGGATTAATAAGCCCAAATATAGACACCTGCAATGTCTACACCTGACTTCCCTTTTCAGCCCTATAGTAACAAAGAGGACTCCCTTTGGCAGCACTTCCCTTTTACCAAAGGAGGTGTCATCATGTCAACTGGTGAAGCCATAGAAGGTCTGCGGTTCATCATTGATGATGGAAGGACCTTAGGCAGAGGAATTTATTGTAAAAACACCTGGAGTTAATGCACTTCACACAGCTGTTGACTCTTACTTAATATAGACCTATGCAGTGGAATCTGGAGTCAGATTCTTCTCATCATAAAGCAGAAAAATGTATTTGTTTAATTAATCATAACTCTTATGTCAGGTGAGAAGATTTTATTCATCACACCAGCTTCTATAGACAGTGAGTTATCCAAGGCTACAGGGAAAGGATAAAAAAAAGGAAAACCAAACAACATGGTGCTGGACTTCTTGCAGTCTACTTTAACAAAAAGCCACCATTATTTTTACCCACAGCAATCCACTTTACAAAAGGGCTGATACGTGATTTGTAGTGGCCTTCCTCTTTAAATCTCTCAACCCTGGAAAGATGATCTGCTACCACAGAACAATTCAGCTGTCACTGCAGGGTGTGAATATTTGCTTTGGGGGTGTGCTGGAGTCTGGGTGTGAGTGTATGTGCTCATGCTCTTCCTTGTTCCTTTTAAACAAGATATATTTATTATTTCTATACAATAGTCAAAGAAATATGTGAATTGCATTAGGTTTCATCATGTAGTATGAAAGCTCCACAATGGGATAGGTACACAGTTTACTTAAACCTTTTAGAAAAACAGTGCATGGTAATGCCTTGTGCTGTATAATATAACCTCTGGACATGCTTCTTCCAATGGGCTTGAGTTTACATGCTTTATTGTGGAATGTTCTTTAACATTTTCTTAATGAGAACTTGATATCAAGGTATTAAGTCACTGGAGCTTTTTCTAATTTACAGCAAATTTTGAAATTCTAACGCTTTGGAAAGGTATATTAAAAATTAACATGTCTGTGATAGAACAATCTTCGTGATTTAAGAACTTAATTTTGCGTGGATTTTTTTCCCTAGAGCAAGTAGTTGATATTTTCAATGTAAACTTGGTTTCTAGTAGGGTCCAAATACCATTCTGTCACAATTTTATTTGTATGATAATATACTATTATTTGGATTTTGTGAAATTTTGCATTTAAATTAAATTAGAGAACATTCACCTCAACAAAAACAACTCAGAATGCTTTTGGACAGCTACAGTTCAATTATTGTATTATTCTGAAAGTCAGCAAGGAAGGGGTGCTGTAACAAAAGAAAATAATTGGCTAAAATATACAAACTAAACCACTCCAGGCTTTGGGGTGGTTTATAAATTTTGCAGTAGGGAAAAAATTAAAATGTATGAAGTTAAAGGATACACTGGTCCTTTTCAACTTTACAAGGAATAGTTTGTTCAAAATACAATGGTGGTTTGTTTATACTTAAAAGCTATTTTTAAGCTAGGATAATTACATCTTCACAACTGTGAAACAGAAAGGTCCAGAATATCTGTTTACTACTGCTGGAGGAGTAACAGTTAATAATTTTTATCACATCATCTTCTTGAGAGACAGATCCCCTCACACATTGCTTTTTCCTACTTTCAGTCTCTCTTCTTCCAGGATCCTAAACTCCTGCTCTGCGTTATTTATCTGTTCAGTGGCTTTGCTGCCCAAGTTTAAAAAATGTCTAGACTGGAGACTTGCAGCAAATAAACACATCTTTCATATGCATTGAGAATTGAACAGAAGTATACCAAACATTTTAAAATTTATTCTGGAAGAAAGTGCTTTTCTGGATGAGTTATGGAGTAGGTACCAGTTACTCTATGACATGTGGAAATCTGTAGCTGTATTTTTCCAGACTGTACCTGAGGAGTTTGGCCCCAACAGATTATGTAAATGGCCGGGACATAAATCTCTTTACTGAGCGCCCCCCAAAACTGTTCAATTTGTGCAGATGAGTGCTACAAGGCATGCAAGTATTAACTCAGTCAAAACTTAATAGTAGAATATGCAAAAATCAGGTCCCATCAGGGATTCAGCTAACATTTTCATGTGAATGCTTATGTGATTTGGCACTTCTACCATGGTACAGCTGATTCCTCAAAATATTTTGAAAAAGATGGTTTGACAATTGTTATTTTTAATAAATGAGAAAAGGAAAAAGGAACTTCATTACTGCCTTCCTTCCCTTTATCCTGGAACATGTTCTGCATTAAAATTAATAGAAGCTAGTGCATTCCTGAGAACACTTGATTTTCATGAATCACTGTTTTCCAGTTTAATATTTTCCCCCTTTCAGCAGTACCCAGAATCGTGGCCAATGTTTTGTACAATTACTCCTTTGGACGAAACAATATTTGAATAACAAAACTCTGAAGTTGGGCAAGAATTTAAATTATCAATGTACTTGTTATATAACAATTTTCCAGTTTGTGCTAATAAAAGTGAAGTCTTGTAAGTAATTTCATCCAAGAAACATTGCATAAAGTACAGCAGCTGGACTCTGTCTAGGGCACAGGGCCGTGGTGTTTTATGCTAACCTCCAGTGCTCACTTGAAATCTGGAGCTTGCTGGGGTAAGTGTGCTGTGTCCAAGGGGCTCAGGTTTGCACTCCTGTAGAGCAATTCCTCACAGTGCTGGGTTGCTGGCTGCTCAGGAAGGATGAAGGTGCATTTCAGGCACAGAATATTTACAGGGGAGCTGCTGATGCCTCTGATAACACTGCAGGCATCTCTGCATACCCGAGGGCATTGGCTGTTGGGTCTCTTCCACTACTATTGAGCTAGTGGGGAAATCATTTGCATCCAAGAATATATTACAGACATTCTGCTCTAAATATGAACCTCAAAATGCAATATGCCCAATAAAATGGAAAAAGGAGAAGGAAGCAGTTTTCCTACCTCTGTGAAAGCATTCTGATTGGTCTGTAAGGTAACCTTCACTACTTCAAACGGGTTAACCACAACTGCCTCTGTCAACCCAGATCCCAAGCCAGCAACTGCAAATGCCTAGGACAGTTCAAATGAAAATTGAGTATTAAGGAGTAATACTTCCTCTACATCAGATTGTGAAACTGAGGGACACAATGCAAACTGCAAGACTACAGTAATGCAGCAGTATTCTATTGCTAAACAACTTTAGCCCTTGATAGATGCTGACAGTTCATGAAGACAATATGACAATAGCCATAAACCATATTCCAAAACAATCAAAACAAAATATTGTAGCACTTCAAGTCCATGTATTCTCTTTTCAGCTGGAAGGGAAAATATGGTACCAAGTGATTGTGCAAACATGGAAAAACTGGCAAAAGAATGTCCTCATGTTATCTTTGGGTGGACTCAGAATAATAACACAAATTTAAGTGTAGTTATGCAGCACTGGAAAAAATAAAACCCCTGAACTGAGCATTAAGCACATAACGCTAACATATTAACTTAAAAACACATGTTAAAAACTAAAATTGTTCAGCACTTAAGCAAACTGCACAAGTAGAATGTTCACCTAGTAGTTAAAAATCCTAGAAAGGTTGAAATGGGAGTGAGTGGCACATGGGGAAATGTCAGCATTCATTGCAAGGATGAATTAACTCCATTTACTTAGAAGCTGGTGGCATTTCAGTCATAGATATAGAAATACTCACTGCTTTGCTTTCCATCATGGCAGAACATTTTAAGATTTTTTAAAACAAAAAATAGTATTAAAATATTTAGGTCAATTGAGAAAATTCAGAGAGGTTAAGTTTAATGATCACTTTACACATTTATTGCCTTCACTTAACATCTCCAAACTCTCTAGGTGCTGAAAAAAAGTCCCAGGACCAAAATACATTATAATGAATCCATTTGCTGAAATTCAAAGAAGCAATAGTAAGGGAAAAAACAATAGTGAGAAAAAACTTACTTAATGCAGAGGGATTTGAGCAGGGACTCCTGAGAGCTCAAGAAAGACAGGAACGAAAAGTTAGAGGGGTGGAGGCAAACACCAGTCCTTTTTGCCTTTGGAGAAGATTGTGTTACCAACAAATAGAATTTTCCAGTAAGATGGGAACATTTCATCATCAACCATGAGATGGAAGCCAGTAGGAAGATGATGATAATGTATACACCTGTCTTTTAATAATAAATATTGCCTTGATATGAGGTCTGTTGAGGTACATAGAAACATTCTGCCTGGTTTAGACCAGAATCCCCCTTAGTCTTCTTTTTCCCTTACTACCTTAGGACCAAAAATGCCTCTATAATAATAGTACTGCACCAAAAAGTATGAGGAATTTCTGATTCTTCTAAGCATTGCTGCATCTGTTTTATGAATCACAGCAGCTTTTGGGCAGCCTGTAAACATGCAATAGCATGTTTATAAGTTTTCAGCCTATTTCCCCCCCTTCAAAAAAAAGTGCTGGGGTACCACAGAACCTTCAATTCTGTTCTTTCCACTTGCTAGAGAACAAGTATCAGTCTCTCTATATACACCTAAGGATGACTACTGCTGAAAAATACCAGATAAAATAGGAGAGACTGCAAACAGCTATAGGGACAGTCGAATGACTAAGAGGAAGAGGAGACTTGCTTTAACCCGGTTAATAGAATTCCATGACCTTTCACTTACTGCAATTAAAGGGAGATGTAACTGGAAGCAATACTCTTTAAAAGAGACTTGAAATAGCCAAAATCTTTATAGCACAACCTTAAAAAGATCGTTTCCTAAATTTGTGATGTCATCATCATGAAAAATAGATATTTACTATGATTTATGTTCTTACACCACAAGAAGCAGTAGCTCTTATAAAAAGAATTTTAGTCCTAATGCACAATGGCAGAATTAAGATCTACACATGAGAATGCAGATTACACGTGCAAGCAACATCTTAGCATTAAAACATTTCTGTGTATATGTACGACCTGCATTTTGTTTTTAAACCAAGGAAGTAGCAAAGGACTTCAAAGGAAGTAGCAATTTCTTAGCAATAATTGTTTCTTTTATAAATTTTTTAAAATAAGTCTGAGATCTCTATGTTTGCTATAGTTGTACTGTGCCTTGGAGAATAGCACTGTGAGGTTGAAGTGTTAAACTATACATGACGACATGAATAAATAAATATTGATAATGTTCAACTTTTTTGTTATTTCATAAGAATTAAGAATGACAAGCTTATACATTCTCTTCCATGGTGGCTGTTGTTATCCGTGTTCATGAATGTTGAGATCTTGTAGGGAATTATTTTGAGGACATTTGATATAAAATATAATTTATCAATTTTCATATATTCTTATCAATATTTTATTATCAAGGGACAGGTCTGTTTTTAAAAACTCTGGATTGAGCTGGACCTTTTAATTTTGGGCTTCTTCTGTGGGAGGAAGCAGATGAGACAGACTGTTCAGCTGACACATATTATATCAGAACACAAAGTTCTGTATCCATACATACCAGCCCTGGTGGCAGTGATGCATATCCCAGAAGCTTCTTGTATTGTTCAAAGGTAAAAAACTGTGAATAGAAGATAGATTGAAATTGAATTGAAAAAGATTATTAGTTACTTATACAAATTAGTAAAAAGCAGACTACAATGGAGTTTCACTACCTCATATCCTGAGCAGCTGCACACAGTTCTGCAAAATAAACGTAAGCCACTTTTATTTCACACTTTCTGTAGCAGTGTTAGATGTGCAAGAGTAGACAATCAGGCTTCAGAACTGATTTTATTAGTGTGTCATGCATAATAGCAGCATAAGTGCAATTCAATAAGGCTTTATCTAAGAGTTCACTTACATCATTTAAGACCAATTTAAATGCATGAACTTTTCCTCTGGCATTAACTTTCATATAATAATGTAAATGTAGTAGCAGATATTACAATCTTCCCAAGAAATCACCCCCACATCCTTAGTGTAATGTGATGCAATTGCTTTTGCATTTCTCAAACACTAGTCTGCTTCTCATCAGAGAGATATAACTGTGTATTTTGAAGATAGAAAGTCTGCCATTTTTATAATTTTCTACTGTCAACAGGTACATTTCTTTTCCTGTTCTCTCTTTACAAAGAAATCTTTCACTCAATCGTCTGCTTTCAAACAGTGGCACTTCAATATTCTGAGCATCTGCAATCCCTTAGAGGATGTCTCGAAAGCTGTGCTCATGGGTGTTTGAATCTCCAGAAAAAAGTAAAATCAGCTTCACCTGCACCAACATGGTGAAAGGCATTTGCAAAGGCTCACTTTGCAACCTACCATGTCTTGACATCCAAACCCATTAATTTTAAGAATAACTTCTCTGAATTCTTATAAAAATCAAAGCATAATAAATGAGTGGATTTGTTCTCCCAAGAAGAAGGTGTGGAATAACTCTGACTGCACTGAAGCCAGGAGGAAGCTCCTGTTGGCACAGGCAAACAGACTTTTGCTGCCCAGCTCCTTGTCTGTGGAAGTCTAAGATGCATGGGTCAACTTATACTCTAGAGAAAGAGTATATGTGACATTTTACAAATTATTGGGAGGGTTCCCTCTGAAATACAGCACACAATCTAGGTTACTCTTTAAAAACCAACTCAGATTACATCATATTCAAAACAGGGCTACCAGGACCATTAAGGAGAACTTAGAGATTGCTTTAAGAATGAAGACTGAAGGAGAATGACTGTTTTCCTTGTTTAGTTTAGCAAAAGAGATGCTGCAAGAGAATGTAACACAAGATAAGTAACACAAAGAAACTAGGTGTAAAAGCAAAATATAAGTAGAATGTGACTGGAGAGCTGATGAAGCTTTCTTGCAACTAAAAGAATCTTGAAACAGTCTTCCAATAAGAAAAATGGGGGAAAAATCTTTATGTTGTGAACGGGAGAGTTTGATAAGTTTATGAAGGAGATTACAGAACAAACCCCATAGTGTCTTAAATTCATATTCTGCAAACATTTTACTGAAGTCACTGGAAAAACAGTCTAGTTGCTATCACAAAAGACAGATGTGAGTGCAGTGAAAATGATCCTCTAGCACGAGGGTGGCAGAAATTGTGGGCTAAAAAGAGTGGGTATCTGAATTCTGGGTAACACCAGAAACATTGGAGGTGTTATTCCACATAGTTTTCACACACGGAACAACACAAGGTCTCTAACCACAGCTTGCTATTTGTGAGCCCTGTAATCTGTCTAAGAAACATTCACATCTTTGCATGCAAAATAAAGTGGCTTTTACACAGCATGTCTGGTATGATGGGAATGAAGAACAAAAACCTGTTACAGTTCCACCAAGACTGCATCAGTGCAGGTTCATATCTCCAAGTACAAGAGCTGTCACATCCCAGTCTAGCAAAAGTAAATAGCCAGAACTTGTAACTTTCCATCTGCTTTCCAATGTTGGCCTGTGACATGTGATTAGTTCAGAGCAAACTGGTTCAGATGAAGATGGGATCCTTGGAAAGTTGGTGAATTCTGTGGCCACAGAGGGGACTACAATCCCTCCACACAGCATCTGCTGATGCATGAGACAACCAAGCTGTTTCACCACAAGAGGAAGGCAACAAGCAATGAGGCCAATGGAGATGTGGGAATCATAAGAAACATAAGGAAATAGAGTTTTTAAGACAAGAGAGAAAGACTGTGTGGCCTGTGCTGAGTCTCAGCCAAAGAAGACAAGCTCTGTCCCTCACGGTTCAGTACTACAGACCTATCAGAACAAAACAGCCATTCCATAAATCACGTGTACAGGAACATAAGTAATAAGCACCACATTTTCATTTGAACTTGTTTAGAACCTTGTCCTATGGCAAAATCAATGAAATTTTTCAATCAAGACCTGCTTCAAATGAAAAGTCACTGGAATCATACCAAAACCATCTGAGAATTGGGTGTAAATGTGTTAATAATGCCACTGCCTTAAAGCAAGAGGGAATATGTATACACAAGCAAAATTGGGTTGTTAAATTCTGGAAACTGATGGGCTGATACTCTGGTCACTGGACAGATATTTTTTTATATCCTCAGCTGGGATTATTATATCATTTTGCAGAAAAGGTCCTAGAACTGGGATGCAGATTTTGACTACCTTCCAAAGAGTGTAAGGATTGAACATTAACCTTGCAAGCATCTTGCAAATATGTTTAAAATTTTTGCATTGGCCTTGACAAAAAATCAAAAAAGAGAGAAGTGTTACTTAAACTCTAGCTCTATCTTTTTGAAGGTATAATAGAGGTCTAACAAAGTGGGAGGGTAAGCTGCTTCACTGAACTAAATTAATTTCTTATTGTGATAAAATTTGCTTTATTCTCTCTCCAGCATCTTTCTAGTCATTGTTACCCTCTTAACCTTTAATGGAATTTCTGGTATTCCTTAATGTTTTCCATAGTGTTACAGATCTGTAAAATAGTTGTAATAAAGGCAGAATTACATTACCCAGCAATTTTTTTGGTCTTTAAAATGTTACCTTAAAATCAATAGCTTCCTAGAGTCATAAATAAAATAACTACTTAATAATAACTATGCTTTAAATAATTTTTAAAAGAAAAAAAATCACTAGCAATAAAATTTAATATAAATGTTGCTGGGTGTACTAGACTGGCTAGTATACATACAATTTTTCAAAAAAGAACGATTTCATACTGTGTCATATGACTTTATATACATCCACCTAAAATGTTTTTAAAAACACAGCATAATTTGTCTTTTCCTCTACAGTTGCATTAAGTTAATAGCTTTGTGCAAAAAAGTTTCTCAGAATAAGCGTATTTAAAACATGCTTTTGTGTATATAGTAACCAATATTGTCCATCTGGCAAAGATACACTTTAATTGAAGTTACACAGAAAATAGCCAAAGTACTTACCAGATGTCTCAATAATGCTAAGATAAAAATATATGCTTGAAACAAGATGTCTGGGAACACATGAGCAATATAAATTTGCCCCAAAAGTTCATCTGTTAACCATTGTATTGGCACCATCATTTCTTTCCTCCAAGTTCAATCTAACAGAAAGTTATAAACTCTGACTTTTCATCTTCCAGAAATACCAGCTTTCTTTTTAGAAGGGAAATAAAAAGGGAGAAAAAAAGAAATAGTAAGACAGACATGGGAACATAGTTGACTAAAAATGAAGCTTTATCTTCAACACTTAACTGAAAAACTGGGGCTAAATAACTTCATTTTAATAGCTTTATTTTTACTTGCAAGATAAATAGAATTTTACTACACCAGATAAATAGAATATTCCAGCAGCATAAGTACATTTCTTCATGGTACAAAATCTTGCTTGTCTATTCTCTACTCACTTTTATGGCACTGTAACTAGAAACTTTCAAAAAACTTCATTACAAACATAAAAAGAAGCTACTGGAACCTAGAAAATGCCTCTTTTCCTTTTGTGCTTTCTCAAATCTCAGAATCATTGGTCTGAATGTAGTCTTCCTCTAAATCTCACCAGTCATTTAGGCAGTCAGGAAGGGACAGTTTGAGGCTTGTTTCAATGAGGAAAACTATTAGAAGAATAAAGGTTGGAGGGTGGGCCGAAGAAAGCAATGATTTTTCCTTTGGGGTCATAGCCAAATAAGGTTAATGGAAATTTGAGATAAGTTGGATTCTCTTCAGGTCAAAGCGTGGGTACAAATTCCACTTTGGATCTTAAAAATTGTACTGGCCTATGACATCTCACAGTGAACTGTTCCATTATACAGGCTCTTACATTATTGATCAGCCCTGTTCTCTCACTGAATTCTTCTAATGTAGAATACAGCTGATGTCTCAAAAAAGTTATCCTGATGTCCTTGGAGCAGCAGCAAATTTAAAAGAATATTGTAAGTAATAAAAGAATTCAACTTTTAAATTAAAACCCTCTCATGTTTAACATTTAAGCTTGATTCTCATGTTTGCAGAAAACTCAGCTCTCACTTAGATGTCCAAGAACTAGGTAGAGAGCATCCCACAAAGAGAGGACAAGTAAGACATTAAAGGAGCCAGAAGTTCTTGATGTAAAAGAGTTTGAGAGAACTGAGTCTGTTTAGCCTGGAGACAAGAAAACTAAGGTGATTCAAGTTCTGTTTTCCACCATTCAAATTTTATACAGAAAAGTCAGACTTTCTCAGAGGCCAGCAACAGAAGCATGAGAGGCAATACACAAAGGTTGCAACAGGAGGATTTGGACTGGATATAAGGGAAAATTCTTCACAGTAAAAAAATTAAGGACTGGAGGACAAGCACAGAGAGGCTGGAGTCTCAATTCTTTAAGATTTCAGAACTCAACTAGACAAGGCATCTGAACATCCTGATGTAACCATGAAGTCAGCTCTGCTTTTATCAGAGATCCTTCCCAAATGAAAATCTTTTTATGATTGTACAATTATATTGAACATCATGGGGTTTAAGCCAATTTAATAAATTTGAGTAAAGGAAAGTGATTTGAAGTTTATGAATGACTGAAAATGGTAGGAGAAATCAAATGGGTTAGTATTTTAACTAATACATGCTGGAATCTAAAAAGCACAGTCAGATTTACTTTATTCTGTTTCAAATGAAATTAAATGGAGAGACAGAGGAAGCATCACAATATGAAGAAAATGAATTATTAGGAATCTTCTAAATACTATCCATCTATTCTTCACTGCCACTTTGCAGTGGGACTGCAAATAGGACTTTAGTTTTCCTGGTTTAATTAAAGAATTTTGAGATAAGTGACATATGTCACTTGTATCTAAAATGCCAGTGCAAACAAGAAGATGACATTACCAGAACTCCTTTAGGATTCTGTTACGAGGTCACATCCTGTCACTTTATACAAATATTATTCCTCTGTAAAGGAATTGGAATGTGAATGATTAATTGCAGACTAAGGACCAGAATCATATGCAGCCTTTTTAGAAAGAAACAACAAAAAGAAAGAAAGGAAAATCAAGACATTCTGTATAATAACTGCTTTTAGACACATTTGTTGCAACTATGGAAACTTCAAAGTCCTGAAGTAAAAGACTAAGATACATTTGCTCTTAACACAATGGCTGCTTTGATAGATTTAGAACTTTAGAATGATGTGCTTAATAGATAGGTTTTAATTAGAAAGGTTGAATGGCTCAACTGAAAAAATTGATGTATTGAAGTATTTTGCTTAGGAATGTTACTAAAATCCTGTTCTACAAATCAAAATAAAGGATAATAAAAGAAAATCAGATCAGCATTTGACAGAAAATATACTTTGATAGGCTAGCATCTATAACTGTAAGAGAGCTGGAGTAAAACGTTTTGCACAATGAGGAGTTGCACCCATTACCATCTTCAATCTCTTAAAAAGATAGAATAATGAGCAGAGTGCCATTTGGAGCACAAAAAAACCTGGGCAGCACTTCAAACCTACTAAATAAGTACTTATTAGTGGCTTCTTTAATGGCTCCTTGTGTTAATTTATTAAGCTGTTAGTTGTTTTGCAAGTTGCTAGGCATTTTCAGTAAAACAAAATATGTAAACCGGAGGCACTTATGAGGCTAAAATATAACTTAAATATTTTATTAATTCTGACAATATAAAATAATTGCAACCTTTTTTTTCAGTATCATTTGATACACGGGTCAAAATTAGCTTAATGTTTACGAGCCTTATCCTACACTTCTTAATCAAGGACAGTTTTTATTGTGTTATCAACAGGAAACTTTCCTCCTAGTAAAAATCAGAGGATTAATATGCCAAATAAGTTTAAGATTCTAATCTCAGTCAGTGGGGGAGAAATAAAATGTTTTACAGCTGCCACTGTCCCTAGTTATACTTTTAAAGGAGGAAGCATGGGGTTTTTACCTTCACTGCCCTTTTAGGTGTCTCAGCCAAAATGGGAGGAAGTATTCCTTTGTAGAAGCCAAGTAATCTATTGAAGAAAAAAAAAAAAGAAATTATTTTCATATGGATAAAAAATATATCAATACCATACTGCCAATTCTATTTTCATTTTTGAGTAAAGCAATTAAACTTTCAGCATTTCCAGGCATTCAGACAAATAATGATACTCTATGCTTACTTGCTAAACAACTAATGTACTACCAAATATATCATGTACTGGTGAGACGATATAAAGAAATCAGCAATAAATACATAAAAATTCAATCAACTTTTTTCTGAAATACAAGACATTCTATTTAAAAGGTGAGGGACATTTTTGACAATGAAAAAGAAGCATTATTTCATTGTTTTAATTTGCTTACCACAGCAATGCTTACATCAGAAATTTAAGTCACAAAATCACAAAATATAGGATTGTAAAAAACTGTGACTTCAGCAAGTTGCATACAAAAACACTTCTTGCTCATATTCAGATGCTAGCTGAGACATATTTTGAAGTTTAGTTTTAAACATGTCTTGAAATGTATTTTTCATTTAGCAACTTAGTTTTAACCCAAGTTACCCATTCAGAGATCCATGACAGAATGTATGTATTTCATCTGGGAAAAAACATTTGGGCAGTATCTTGTCACTGTATATGTATGTGTGTATCTATATCTCTATATCTATCTATCTACAACCTGCTGCATGCCAGCACACTTGGCATTTTCAGGCAGCCTGAGCTCTGCTTATAAGGCCAGTGTAGATACACAATGCTGGCTCTTGGGAATGCTTTAAATGACAAGTAGTTTTCAAAATCCCCACATGGAGTAGAAATAGACACGGTCCTTGTCTGCTAGGTCTGCACACTAACCTGGATAGTGCATGGTGAGAGTTCAGAAAGGAATTTAATGGAATCACCAAGAAGAATCATAGAATGGTCACCACCTCCAGGGATGGTGACTCCACCACATTTATGGGCAAACTATTCCAATGCCTGACCACCTTAACAATGAAGAAGAAAGTTTTTCAATATCTAATTTGTGTTGTTCCTGTCTTAGCTTAAGGTCGTAAGTTATCTTGTTAGCCAACAAGATCCTACATTTTGTTAGCCTACATATCCTACAATTTGTCCATCTTCAGAATGTATACACATTTATTCAGGACTGTAAGAGGATTCTGTCTACAAACACAAAACTTACCTAAAGTAAAGCATTTGTGTTTTAAAAAATGTCGTAAGGTTGTGATGTTGGAATATGATGATTCACCTTTCTAAAGGAGCCTCATATTTGAAATATTTTTGCAGAGTGTGTAAGAGACATGACATCAATAGATTCTCCTACAGTTGATCTCTAGATGTCAAAAGAAAACAATGAAATTCATATTCCCCATGTGAATTTAAAATACTACAAATGCTATACCATTTTGCCCATCCTTCTTCAAACACTTCTTTGGAGTTCTCTGCTTGGGCTTCCCCAACATAAATAAAGTAATTTAGGCCTTGTAATATACTCTGGGTTGGGCATATCCTTACTCTGAAGAAAGCAATGTTTGAGCTCCAGTCCACAGCAAAAGGACACTTTGAGCATTTAACATAATGATGGCTTAATGACAAAATACTGAAAAGTAGGGGATTAAGGAATTTACTTGTCATCAGATGTTTAAATTTTTCCAAAGTCTTACTTCCCAAATATAAACATACAAATACAAATTTATGTATCTATTAATATAGATATGGATATACCTACAGATACTTATAGATATGGAAATAACAATATAAATATAATGGATCCATAGAATCGTACAATCATAGATACACAGAATGGTTTGGTTGGAAGTGACCTTAAAAATAATTTAGTTTCAACCTGCCTGCCATAAGCAGGGAATCTTCCACTAGACCAGGTTACTCTGAGCCCCATCCAGTCTGGTCTTGGTCTTTATTCTTAGTGCTGGGCCCATTTTAATCTTCAATGGTTCATACATATACAGAACATATTGCTGATTCAGCAAGCAATTTAAATGTGAAATACCTTAAAGAAGGTGATTCATACATTTTAATGTGAGTTCAAACTGAAACTGAGGTCCAAGTAGGATCAGCTACAAGAACACAGATCCCTGTAAACACTTTCTTCCTTTCAGCTCAGTCTAAACTCCTGCAAGCATATCTACAACAGGCATCCTGCTTGCAATTTCTACTCCTCCACATGATTGGAATTGGAGAATTAATGTCCTCCACTGCTTTACTCACTGGTGTAGCTCTCACTACAAAAACTGAGACTCGGTCTGGATTTTTTCATTAGTAGGAGATGCCTAAGCAGAGAAATATGCAGTATAGAATAACAAATAAGTTTAAAAAATATGCTGCAGCATTACCCAGCCTTACACAGCACAACAGGTTCCTTTTCCAGGTTGCCTTTTTGTATATTCAAAATGAATGCAGCTATTGGATTTATAAGCCTTGTAACATTTCCACAGTCTCTGGGGATCTTAGAGAAAACTTTTCAGAGAGAATGTAGAAAGGATATACCAGGAATTTGAGAGCAAATTTGTCATCTTAGCAATATTGTAAGGCAGGTAGCAGCTCCTAAAGAGCAATCCGGCATTAAACCACAAGTCAACATTGAAATACCAGTGATTCAGGCCACCATTAGACCAGGCAGTGGATTATTTGAAAGTTCTAAAGAAACGGGAACTAAAAATATGAAAAGCAGTTATCCATTGCTTCTGAATCACAGAAAAGTTGATGATGAAAGGGACCTCTTGAGATCATCTGACCCAACCCTTTGCTCAGGAAGGGCAACCTAGAGCCAGTTGTCCAGGACCATGTCCAGATAGCTTCTGAGTATCTCCAAAGAATGACTACCCTTAAAGGAAGGAGATACTTCAAATGCTCTGGGCAGCCTGTGCCAGTGCTTAGTTACCCTCATAGTAAAAATGAACACATTCCTGATGTTCATACGGACCCCCTTGTGCTTCACTTTATGCCCATTGCCTCTGGTCCTGTCACTGAGACCTTTCCTTTAGGTACTTCCAGATTCCCCTCTGAGCCTTCTCTCCTCCAGGCAGTTCTGCATCTCTCAGTCTTTTCTCATGTGAAAGGTGCTCCAGTCCTTTAATCATTTTAGTTGTCCTTCAACTGAACTCCTAATGTTATGTCCATGTCTTCTCATCATTCAACTTCAGGCAGAGCTCCATGCACTGCAGTTGTCTTCCTGGCCAGCCCTTCCTGAGCAGCCTGTATCCCTCCACAGCAGCACTCGGTGCATTCGCTGCATCCCTTCGATCCTGATAAGATCCTACCCCTGCAGCTGCACACAGATCTCCAGTTCCTCATGTTTGTGTCCCATGTTGTGTGCCCTGGTGTGCAGGCTCCTCACAGAAACTTCCTCACTCACGTGCAAACGTTTGAGGTGGCCCCAGCTGAGCCCTGTTTATTCCCATTGTGTTCCTCGTGGTTCACAGCAGCCCAGGTGCTTTGCTTGGCTCCATTGCTCCCTCAGAGCTGCTGTAACTCCACCCTCCCTCAGGGCTCCTGGTTTGAAGTCCTCTTTTAAGGACTGTACCAGGAGCAGCCACACTGCAGCAGAAATCGGTGTGCAAAGATACCACTGTGCACCTAATGTCAGGCTGATCTGCTTATTGTAAGGCTGACACTGAAGACTTTCTGCTGGAGGAACCTCTACTGTGAACCAGGAGAATCTGCAGAGCTGAGTAACCATACTCATGGCTCTATGAATCCCTAAAATGTGAAGGATTTCATAGCCACATTAGTGGCTTTCACTGCTTTGCTCCTCCTTTCTCTTTGGAAGCAAATCTCTTCATGGAAAACAGACAAGAAGGAGTTAAGGTCTATTCCTATGGAACACATTAAGTTTAGAAATCTAAAAACACATGAAACTTTGAGGATATACATCCATATATGCAATATGTAGTTCAGTAAACATGGTAAGAGCTAGCTCAGTATTTAATTATGAGCTGTGGTTTAGGGTTTTTTTCCCTTCCTGATTTGAAATAGAAACAGAAAAAAGGTTAGTAAGCACAGCCAGTAAGATGAAAGGAATAAATGAAAAGAGGAAGTAGAAGACAATGCCATCCCATCACTGCCTATTGTCAACTGACTAATTTTTTGCATAAAGTGTAGTCGCTTTTAGAACCTCCTGTGCCTGAGGTGGAGGACAAGCAGTTGCCCACAACTTTTACAAATAACATTTTACAAATTGTACCCATTAAAGAGAGTTTTTTCAATCTTTGCAGAATGAACCATTTACTTAATTAAAAAAACTAGCATGATAGTAACAGAAACTTGACTGGCTTTGCCAGTCAAAAAGTACACACACACACACACACACACACACAACAATCTTATCCTTCTGCTTTGCTTGGCCAATTGAGTTAGCCTATTTGCTCACAGAGTATGAAATTTTTTCAAATTTTTTCAATGAACAATGATGACATTTCACATTTGAGAGATATTATCACCTGGACTCAAGCCTCCTTCAAAAAACTAGTGTTCAGAAAAATTATGAAACAGCAGCAACAGCAATCACTGCAGGGTCTGATAGAAGAAAGAGGAGATGACATCATATCCCCAGCTAGAGACACTGGAAAGAACAAATAAATTTCTAACAGAAACACAGCTACATCTTATTTTGTTTCAGCATTAAGGGTCTAAATGAACATCACCATTCAATTGTATTCTGGGCAAGAGCCCAAACTCATCTTTGCAGCAGTTGATTTTGAAACATTACAGTCAATCACATCTTCTCAATTTGTTCTTGCAGGCTTTCCCTATCCTTCTGGTTTCCATTTCTTGTTTGGAAGCCTTGAGTCATTCACCCTGGCAAGAAGACCAACCTAAATCAGTTATTTTCTCCGAATTATACTGAAATTGCGATCTTGCTTAGCTTGTTGTTTTCTTCCTCTGCCTTTCACATAATTTTCCCTTTAAGGATCTAATAAAGCTGATTGAAGGCATAAGCACAATATTCCCTTTCTTTTGGTGCTGTCAAACCCAAGGCACTTACCCACATTGTTTTATAATTGAAACAA